TACAAGAATCCCATATTATGGGTGTGATGCCTTAATAGATTTTGTGGGACCTCATTTAAAAGGACCCCTTTTGCAACAAACTATCCAACAAATAACTCAGAGCTGTTCTGTATGTGCTTGAAACAATCCAGAAACTGAAAAGCCTCCTGCTGCAAAGGGAACCCAACATGTAGGGACCCACCCCTTCAATGATTGGCAAATTTATTTCACTCAGATGCCAAAATGACTGGCAACTTCAAATACTTGTTTACATTAGTAGATACCTTTTCAGGCATGGTAGAGGCTTATCCTACCCAAATGGAGAGAGTGTCTAAAGGACACTCCTTCTAAAGGAATCCTTCTAAAGGAACTCATTCCAAGGTCTGGGCTTCCTTCCTCTGTACAGAGTGGCAATGGACCCTCCTTTATATAGGAGGTAACTCAGTAAGTAAGTAAAGCCCTATATCTAGAATGGAAATTGCATGCATCCTGGAGATCTCAATCTACAGGGAAAACAGAAAATGAATCACACTTTAAAGAAAACTATAGCAAAATTAATGCAGGAAACCCATCTAAAGTGGGATAAGGTGTTGCCGCTTGTCCTCCTCTGGATAAGGGTAGTCCCTAGAAGCAGGCTTAAGATAAGCCCCTATGAAATAGTTTATGGGAGATCCTTCCTAGCATCCGGAGGTAAGTATGGCAACCTAACCATAAGTGAAGAAAACAGAGAAAAGCAATGTATCAAACAAATAAATCAAATACTAACCACTATGCATGAGTTTGCCTCTTTCAGGTCTCCACCCCAGTTGAAAACACCCCTCCACCACTTTAAACCAGGAGGCCAGATGTTTATTAAAACCTGGAAAGAACAAGGACCTGGACAACAACTGGCAGAGAAGTGGAAGGGACCCTATGAAGTACTTCTAACAGCTCAAACTGTGTTGAGACTGTCAGGAGTAAAACCTTGGCTCCATCATACCAGAGTAAAGAGGTGTCCCATGGAAGAAGCCACATGCCCACCAGTGGATAGGCCAGCCTTTAGGCAATCTAAAGTGGCTGTTTAAGAAGCAGGAAAAATGAAAACATTGATACTTTTGCTAACCTTTCTTTGGTTATTTATTCTGTCTACAGAATGGAGGGAAAATACTTTAGTGAGGATTTCCCAAACTATCGTCTCTTCTGCTAGTCTGTCTTGCTGCTGGGTTTGTCATCCCAAACCTTGTTTGGTGCAAGTATTCCTGTGTATATTTTCACTAATACACCTTCCTACATTCTTCCTACATTCTGAATTTTCAGAAGCTGGTCTCTCAGGTCAGCTACGGGGTATGACTAATCATTCTGTACTCAGAGGTCCCATGTTTTTTTCTTATGCAGCCCGTATTAGACGTTATGTACAAGGTGACAGCAAGGACACACAGTCCTACTGGGGTCTTAGATACCATGTGGAGTCTGCCATTTCACTCTGTCAATCCTCATGGTTGTAGTTGCTGCTTATGCCCCTTTTCACCTGGTAATCTGCAGCATTCTTTAATTTTTTGTAAATCTACTGCCAAAGATTTGACAAACCAAAAAGAGCAATGGCATCAATAAGTACAAACCTTCTATCTAAAACATTGCCCCAATTCAGCAGGAAGTAGCTTGGTGACTACATCACCCCTCCTCCCATAGATATGGAACAATAAAATTGGCAGTGGGGAATAGGTAACAGAAGTAAGGATATACAAAAAGGCAAAATGTTTTATAAGTTGTCTCTTTAAAACCCCTCACCGTTTTAGAGGAATTAAGACCTGCATTCCTGCCTGAAACCAGTAGTCAAAGGTGCAGAAAAAATGTTCTTTGTTCTCTGTTTTCTTGTATCTTAAACCACAGGTGATGGCTCAACAGGATTATTGGGACAAAGGTCATGAGATTGTCTTCACTGGAGATCAGGTCAACTAAAACCAACTATAGTTAAACGACAACAGCCTGATGCTGGAAACCCCCTTTAAGATCCCTGTATTTCTGCTTGAAGGGGGGATGATGGTTCTTTAAGACAAGAATCTGACATCCTCCTCATTTGCCAGCAAATTAATAAACTTCTCTTTCCTTTTCCTCAAACAATTTATCCTCATTCTTCATTCAGCCTCAGGGACAGGTATTGAACTTTCAGTAATAAGAAATCCTGGAGACATTTGAAAATGAGGTCTAATTGGAAGCCATTAAGTTGGAAGTTATTTGGGTAAGATTGATAGTTTAAATCACAAGAGAGAACAAACTTGCCAAGGAAAGCACATATTTAAAAGAAGGTCAAGAACATAATCTTCTGAAGCCACCAAAGTCAGAGGATGGGCAGAGGAAGCAGAGATGGAAGGCACTTCCTGAGGACCTAGAATGTGTCCAGCAGGTTCCATGCATATGTTTGTAGTATCTCACTTAATCCTCCTGACATCCCTATGTTAGGCTATTGTATACCCCTGGTTGTATAAAGAGGGCAGGAAGAAGTGAAAGGTGAACCAGCTAGGCTCAGGTTTTGCAGGTCTGTCTGACTTCACAGCTTCCTTGAGAAGCATGAGATCAAGGTATGGATTAGCCAGACACAAAACAAAATCAACTACACAAGTTTTAAGTTGGAGAGGAGGGAATTTGAGGTAACTCAAATTACATGAGCCATTACTTGCTGCCTCAGTAAATGGCCTCACTATCTACCCAGTTGACAAAGCCATGGATCCAAGAGTCATCATCCTTCATTCTCACTCCCACATCAAATCCTTCAGCAGGTCCTGGAAGTTCTACCTCCAAATTATATCCTCTTTTTATCATGTCCACTGCCCACCACCCTAGACTAAGGCACATTAATCTTTTCCATAGAAAGCTCGAATCACTTCCTATTCTGTGGCTACTCTTGCCCAGCTATAACCCATTTTCTCTACAGCAACAACATGAGTGCTACTGATACTTGATTAATCATTAAACACTGATTAACCATTGTTCCTTGTTGGGACTTCATTGTTCAGCTGTCCCGTCCATTTCAGAATGTTTACCAACCCTAGCCTCTGTCTACTAGATGCCAGTAGTATCCCAAGTAAATGCCTTCCTTTCTTCCAAATGAATGTCCCCATGAGGGGTATGGTGGTTCTGCTCCATCACACCTCATCCTCTCCCCAGGTTGAGAACCATAGAGCCTGAGTGATCTTTCAGTGTAAATCAGACCACGTCACTGCCCTGATTAAAACCTTCAGTGGCTTCCCATTGCACCCCAGGGCCATTCATCATCCAGCCAGTCTACTTCTACAGCCTGACCTTCTCCAACTCTTCTCCTCTTATTTTATTCTCTTCAGGGCAGCTTCCCCTCTCATCCTTGGCCTCGTCAACCTATTTCCTTCTGCAGGGGCTTTGTTCCTGCTATTCTCCTGGCCTGGATTGCTCCTCCCTCAGCTCTACTTGGTTGGGCCTCTTCTCTTCTTTCAGACGTGGGCACCAATGCTGATGTAGGCATGAGGCTGCCAGGGCCCATCCTTGCCAGGAATAAAGTCAGAGGCAGGCAGTGCAGAGGGATAAGGAGGGAGAGAGAGCGGGGTAGGGAAGGGGAGACCTGATGACATCTTTTGAACCCCCAGATCCAGCTGTGTCTTAGGTAAGACTCATCCATTTGAATTTTCAGTACACAAGATAATAACATTTCCCTTTTTTCTTAAGCTAATTTGGGTTGGGTGTCTGCCATATGCCATGGCAAAGTGTGATAATTGAAAATACTAATATTCCATGCGTTGTCTCAAATGTAGCAAAGCTGGAAAATGGATGGATCTCTTTCCGTGCTGGGGTAAAGAGGCCTTTTCAGGGTCCTCTTGCAAGTTGCCTCAAGGAAGGACTAGAATGCCATTTCTAGCTATGCACCAAATATGTCCCTCGGCAGCCTGCCCATCATCTTTCTCCCTGAAAAAGAAAACTTTCCTCCACTTAGTCATCCTTTCTGATTGCATCCCATCTCTTCTATCCATCAGCATCAAACTACTTGAAAGAGGGGAATACATGTGCCCTTCCATTTCCTCCTCACACACCCGTCAACCCTCAACAGCCAGGATGTCCCTTCCAGTGCAACCACATCTGCCAGTGGTCACCACCCCTCCAAGTCAGTCAGCTAGAACAACGCTCTGTTCTCAGCCTTTATCCTCATTGCTCTTTCCACAGCATTTAACACTGCTGCCCACACCTTCTCTGGATTCCATGACACCTCACGGTTTTCTTACCTTCCTGGCAATTCCTTTTGTTACTGGAATATCAGCAAAACCTCTAGGCATGAGTAATAAGGTGACTGTGAACACTTGAGACAGTCTCCTTGATTTGAGTGAAGCCATTCAATTGGCTATTAGTCCCATCCCTCTAAAATTCCATCTGGCAGGGCCCATCACTGAAGTTGGTCAGAACATCTTAATATTGATAGACAAAACTCGAAATTGTCTAGCCACCATTCTATAATTCCCATATGCTATCTGATCTCTTGGATAGTGGATTTACAAAAGTCCCCTGGATTCACCTGTCCAGGTATCCCATCTCTAGTTGTTCTATAAACCAGAGCTTTAACTTAAAGCTCCTTAAAATAGTTTGGCTAGAAAGACCAATCCTGCATCATACAATGAAGTGTATATAGGATACTCAACAGGTATTTTAAACATAAATAACAATCAGCTATATATTAAAGCAAGGATCCTGTGTTAATTACCAATCCCCCCTTACCTGTGTATGGGGGAAAAACAATCGTTGGTTTGTCTGTACAACATTTAGGCTTTTGGCCCTCTTATGCTAACAATATTTTCTTTCTCTTATAAAATGAAAAGAATTATTTCTCAAAAGGAAATAGTCATTCCTACGGGTTGTGAGCAGATCCTAGTCTCACTTTTTCTCTGTATACAGCAATAGAGCAGATTTTTGTTCTCTTTTGTTTCTGCTTTCACTTTAATTTTGATTAAGTAGGGACAACGGACTAGGCATGTCAGTAGAACTTGGATAAAGGCAATAATCATGACCAGATTTCAGCTTAGAACTTTCTTTATTAAGGAAGGTCCTTCAGGCACTTTTATTAACAGGCAGATACAAGCTTAACAAGAGCACCTCTCAAAGTCACAGTTTCAGTTGTTTTTGTGAGGTCATCCAGAAAGCAGAGAACACAATGACGGTGGCTTCTCAAAGCCATGACAATCAAGTTGTTGGCCTTGTGCCCTCCGTCAGACAACACCATCACCCCCTCTGCTTCTGTCCTCTGAGGAAAGAAGAAAAGCTGGGATTTGAGACTTGCTATTTATCTGGGCCACATGCGGCACTTGCTTGACAGCAGACAAGGCCCCCTACCCATGCCAAGGCTCAGATAAAACAGTGGCTATGTTGCCAAACCTTCTCATCTCTGCCGTGTCTAGCCTAGACCTTGAAGTATCTGATCCTCCCTGGGCATGAGGGGAGCACTGCAGCAGCAACCATACCAGGCTTTGCCACTGGGGGTGATGTGCCCAGGTGGAACGTTTCTCCGGAGGCCGACTCCACCGAAGCTACACCTGAGAAGGCGTGGCGCAGGTCATAGTGAGCCCGGTGCGATGGGGGTCTTGGGTGAGCAGCCACTACCATGGGTCCTACCACCATGGGAGCTGCAGGCGGGCTGGCTGGAGGGGACGCAGATGCAGGTGGGTCCACTGGAGCAGAGGTGGAAGCTATGGAGACAAGGCCATCTGGCTGGGGCTGCGGGACCACGGGCTGGAGAGAGTATCATTTCTGTATGTTAGTTTGCTTCCTCCTCCCAGTCAAGGCCACCCATGGGTCTGGGTGGCAATCCCACCCAATTTCCTCACATTGCCAATTTTTATTTGAATGAATCTGGCAACAAAAAAAAAAACAAAAAAAAAAAACTACCTAGGTACAAAAGATTGCCATCAGGGTTATGGAGGATGAATGGCTTGTGGTGGCCCCTATCTCACCAGGATTATCTTGGTGGTGGTGGACTCACACACGCATGTCCCATGAGTGAAAGTATCCTGCCTATGGTGAACCTTCACCAGCAGTGCCACCCTCTTTGTCATCTTCAGCTGCAGCCACTGGGAGCTGCCGAGCAGATCTGGCCACCTCTGCAGCTCAGAAAACTACTACAACCTCCCACAAATAAAAAGGTGGCCTTCTCAATGACACAGTAGGATGATTCTGGCCTCTAGTCACCAGTTCACGGGAGAGGAAGGCGTAGCTGAAATAGCCTTCCATTAGTTGATGATTCCACATACGCCAGTATTATTTTACATTGTGAGGTTCAGAAGGACAGGACAGCAAATGTCCTATAATTACTAACGCACTGCATGGATGTTAAGGTGTCATTGTATTCTGAAGGTGCAGAAAAGAATATTCATAAAGCTGTTACCTGTCTTTGGAACACTGTGCAGGTCACTGCAACCTCTTCCTGACCAAGATTCTCAGTGACTGTTGCCTTACAGAAGCCGTATTGCTGCCCACAGAAAGAGAGAAGCTATTTTAGTTGATTTTTTTTTTTTTTTTTGAGACAGAGTCTCGCTTTGTTGCCCAGGCTAGAGTGAGTGCCGTGGCGTCAGCCTAGCTCACAGCAACCTCAAACTCCTGGCTCAAGCAATCCTGCTGCCTCAGCCTCCCAAGTAGCTGGGACTACAGGCATTCGCCACCATGCCCGGCTAATTTTTTGTATATATATTAGTTGGCCAATTAATTTCTTTCTATTTATAGTAGAGACGGGGTCTCCTCTTGCTCAGGCTGGTTTCGAACTCCTGACCTCGAGCAATCCGCCCGCCTCGGCCTCCCAGAGAGCTAGGATTACAGGCGTGAGCCACCGTGCCCGGCCTATTTTAGTTGATTTTTAAAATGGATTTCTCCCCCAGTTTCATTGATATTATAATACCTCAAGGCAAAAAAACCAAAACAAAACAAAACAAAAAAACCTCACTTAAATTCTTAATTCCTTTTTAAAAAAACTCTCTTAAACATTATAGTTTCCGCTTATAGCAGATATATACATATAATTCTACAGATAATATAGAAAACATGAAGTATTTTGAGAATGAGATAGATCACCCACTATCCCAGAAATGATGGTGATTTAAAGAGAACTATTTTTAACATTGATGTACTTCTTTCTTATTTTTCAGCACTATTAAATATAATTTAAAAATTGAGATCATTGTGACCAAACCATGTTGTATCCTGTGTTTTTCACTTACTATGATATAATAGCATTTTCTTTGAAAACATAATTTTTAGTGTCTGCATAATTTTCTATTTACTGATATACCATATATTATTTGATAAGCCCTCCTGTTGGACACTCAGATATTTTTTATTTTTGGTCACTTTATATGTATGATCATTCATCTTTATCAGATATATTTCAGTCAAACATCTCTGATGATTTCTTTAAGCTAAATTCCTAGAAATGGACATTACTCAAGGACTTGAAAGTTTTCATATCAGAGGTATATCTAGAAAATTTACACTTCACACTCCCAGAGGCTGGGCATGACTCGGTTTCATGAGGAGATGGGCTCTTGTCCTCCATGTGCTTCCAGTAGGTGAGACGATTTGGTGTCAGCTCTGAAGAGGGGAGGTGACACCCCAAAGGAAGGCCTGGCATGACACAGCCCCCCAGGAAATGGCATTTTGCACTCTTAGTGTCTTTCTGCAGTCCCAAGATACAAACTACACAAGGATGTTTTGTTCAATAGCCAGCTTTGCCTGGGTGGCAACAACCTGAGGTCCCGGCCCACTTACCTTTTCTGGCAGCATGTTGCATTTGGCTGCGTCTGTGACCTGTATAGCAACACAGTCAGTGGCAGCCACTGCAAACTCCACACGGGTAGAAACTGGGAGAGGCTGATAAGAATAAATGAAAATGTTCTTGAGGCAACACAACTTAGAATGAAAAGGGCAGAGAAAGAGAGGCTGGCAGAAAGTGGCAGGGTCACAGCGTGGCACAACTTCAGTGAGCACTATTCACATAGACCACATTGTGGGGCCCAGGACACATGCCCCCGAATGGCCTACACAGGGCAGTTATTGTAGGATGATGGTCTGACATACTTGTACTACCGAAGTAGGGGTTGGGTCTTCCCTGGAGGAGGAGCAGATATCCATTGCCCATCCATCACTTAGGGTGCGCGTGAGTTTTCACATAGGAAATAGGAAATCAGAAAGCCAGCCTTAGACTGGCGTGCATGGGAACACTGCCTCCCCCTAAGTCTTGGGGCTGCACTTTGAGACCCAAAGTTCTGGCTACTCCAAGACAGGGTGGAAAAGAGAAGAGATTAATAAATACCTTTTCTGTCTATTTCATAGAGCAGGATCAAATAAAAACATTTCGATGAAAGTATGGAAGACATTGCTAGTGCTTTTCTTTCTTATGGTACTTGGACCATATGGACACTTAAAATAATAAAATATCTGTTACCTGGTCTAGTCTGGGATGGGGATGTCCTAAGAATTACATATTCTGATGAACAGAATGACCACATATACTAATGTATTTCCAAGTATGCCATAGCTGATATCCAGAATAGGGGTTTTCTTAAACATTAGAATTCTGTCGCCTTCAAATGTGCTAAAGCACCCACAGTACATTAGATGTTTTCTCCAGCGACTCAAAAGGCATTTTAGGATCCTGCCACTATAAGCCTGTCGTATGAATAGGCTCATGCCTTTATCAGTATTCATTAGGAGACTGATGCAGGCGTCCGGCGGTGGTGGGTGAGAGATGTGTGGAGACCAGTGGATTCACAGCGAGTGCTTCTGGATAACGTGGGAACCTCCCCTCTCTGGCCCTGGGCGCTCTGCTTTTAACCAGAACTGAGGGAGTGGGGCTGTGCCTACCTGCAGCGTCTGGCTGCCACAAGTTAGAATGGTTCAGCAGCCGGGAGATGCTTTGGGGTCCTCACGATACTCAGGGTTCTCATGCCCCCAGGACGCTTTTGTCTCCTTTCCAACCAACACCCTCCTTGCCTGCTCGTCGCCCACACAGCGCCTGGTTTTCCCTCACTGCTGCCGCACCGCAGACGCTACGGTACATTCCCGAAGTGCGTGCAAAGTGCCCAAAGTGAGAGCGAGACTCTCAGTCCTTACCACGAGTTGAGCCCGGGAAATCTCCACCAGCTGGAAATAGGAGCCGTTGTTCTGCGCGTTGAAGGCGGCCAGGGCGGCCTCCACGGCGTGCACCACGCGGCTGTCGTTGAGCGGGGCCAGCAGGGGGCAGTCGGGGCACACCTTGCGCACGTCCTCCGCCGAGTCTGCACAGGGGGGAGAACCCGGACCGGGCACTGACGTCCGTGGCTCTAGGAAGGGCCGGAGCGCGCTGCCCCTTACTAAGCCTTAAGTAGCTCGCGTCCTGCTGCTATTAGCTCGCATGCTGATAGTAGCTCGCATCATGCTGACAGGAGCTCCTGTCATCAAGGGGCAATTTTCGCAGCCAATAAACAGCTCCTTTTAAAAAGTTTTGAAATCCCAGAACCTAGGACATTTGGCTTCTCCTTTTTCTCACCAACTAAGTGGCTAGAACGACTTAGGTTGGAAGCTATTCAGATTCCTTCTCTCACCCTCCTCGCCCCCCCACAAAGTAACAGTGATCAAGAGTAGTCATCTCTACCTGGACTGGAATCACATTTTGCAAACGTCACGGAAAACTGGCCGTCTTGCCTCAGTAGCCGCACGTCACAGTCTCCTTCCACAGCCTGGAGAAATAACCCCCCGTGAGTGTCCAGGAAGAGCTGGCCTTCCACTGTTCACTCGGGAAGGGGTGCCTTCCAGGCATGTTTGTCAAAGGCGATCCTCACAAAATCACGTTCACTGGGTGATACTGAAACATTACACCCTCTGCTTTCAGGGAAGGCTACTAAAAGAAAGTTAAGCGTTTATAAAAATCAGCCCCAGGGAATGTGGCATCAAACGGCAATTTTAGAAACTGCACACCGGATAAAACACGCCTACTGTTCTTTGCTGAACCACCCCGGAACTGGCCAGGCGCCCCCAACAGCCATCCTAAGAAGGGCACTCACATGCTCCGCCAGCTGCCTCACGGTGCAGTTCGCAACTGGGGTGGGATCCAGCACATGGCAGGTGGTCTCCAGTGTGTCTATTTCAAGCTCAAATACCTCTCCAAAGGGTCGCTGTGGAGACACAGAAGGAAGAGGTGAGCAGTCCATTTCCCTGATGGTGTTGTGTAGGCCAAAGTGTGAGTCCCCAGGGAGCTTGAACCCACCCCTGTTTTGGCGAGGTGAGGGGAAAGTCATTCTGACTGTCAGTCTGCAACTGTGTCTAACTCTGAACTTGCCTGTGGACAGGACAGCCACCAGGGCTTCTCTGTCCTTCCTCTGTGGACTGGGCAAGTGCCAAATGGTGCTTGCAAGGGAAAAGGGGGCATGGGCTTGGACAAGCTGATGAGGCTGCCATCCTCACTCTGAGCTCTATTTGGAAACTGAAAATGAGTGTTGATGCTTATTTTTTAATTTCTAAAATTTCACCTTTCAACCAGTGATTTGAAAACTTTAGCTTTGGATTTTTCTCAGTCAAGCTGCAAAAGTAAAGTGGTGTAGGGTAATCTTACCAACATTTGTTAATCTTCTCTATCCCTCCCTCTACTTCTTTCTTCCTTCCCTCTCATTATTTACTTTCCTTCCTTCCCTCATTTTCTCTTTCTTCCTAAAGATTTTTGTCTTTGGCTTTTTCTTTGTCTTTTGGATTGTACAGTAGATGCCTGGCTGCAAAGATGCTGCTCTCTACTTCCCCCTGCTGGTTATGATAGGGAAGAGCATGTCTCCCTCTGACACTGAGGAAACCGTATATGTCACTATTGTAGACGTGAAGGAGTTACCGGGAAGCCTGTGTAAATCCTTAAAGTTGTTCTTGTTCACCTATTTCCATATTCTTTCTTCAAAGCCTGGGAAATTCAGAAGGCACAAATATGCCTTTTTGTCTGTCAGCCCATCTGCTTGCCTCTCAATTTGCCTGACTCAGTGGTACCTGAAGCTTCAGAACGGCCTGCCCTGGAGGAAGCGCTGCGTTTAAGGATGTCTGTATAGCCATGCCCAAAGTAACTTCCTGAAAATGTCCAGCGCTGCAGTGAATAGGAACCAGGTACACCTTGGTTTCTCAAGGAAAGGACCTCTCAGGCTCCGCCTTTTGTGAAAATCACGATGCCCATTCATTACCTTTTCCCTTGGAGGTGCACGTTGTGTGTTTATTTCCCCTGAATTTCTCACTGTTTCCTCTGAACCACCGTTGTGCATTAATGTGGCTATAGTACTCTTAAAATCCATCTGGGGCAATCCCGACTTCAAATATTTTGTCCCTTTGTGAGATCAATGTCACTTGTCAGTCCACCCAGATTTCTTGATGTTTACTTTTACTTTACCTTCCTTCTTAGATTGTAAACTCTTGTGGTCGTAAACTGTGTCTTTTTCACCTTTGTATTAAATTGAACCATTAAAATTGCCAATATTTGGTTGCTTTCAATACACAAAAATGGCAATTTTATATGGCTCATCACAGTATCTCCCATAGCACCTGACACTGGTTTTTGCCCAAGGAAGGCTTGTAATAAATGTTTGCTGAACAAATTACCCTTAATCAGATACACATTCTAATTTTAAAACAAGCAGTAGACAGATGGCTTTTTCTCAACTCTCCAAATCTCTCCACTGATCCCCAGGGCACATTTTCTAGCTTGATCCTCACTGTCACTGGCTTTAGGCTACATTGGTTTCCTGTCTAGCATGTAACGAAGTGAATCCTGTTCATGCCAAGACTTCTCTCGGGTATGTGGGGAACTCTCTTTGGAAGAAAGCTTGTGTAGAGGAAAGAACTTGGGTCTATAATCAAATCCCATCCTGAATGCTTACTATGACCTTGGGCAAAAAATGACAACATATTAGAGACTTGGTTTCCTCTTGTATAAGACAAGGACAACATACCTACCCCCAGGACAGGAGGCAGGGAAAAGGAAGAGAAGAATGAGATAACATGTGAAAGGGCCTGGCATGAAGTAGGCACCTTCCAAATGCTCGTTTCATTCACTCTCAGTCTTTGACAGGGAGAAGCAGAAGCAAAGACACATAAGTGATTTTCAGCCAGTGGTAATTTGGCAACTAACTAGTAGCTGGTCTCTTGGACCTTAGTTTTTTCAGCCAGCCATACTTTCCACCTGTGATCTGCAAACTAGCATTCAAAGCCCTTTATTCTCCTGCATTCCACCCCACACCCCACCCAGCACCCTCCCGTGACCCAGGACCTCAGCACAGAATTTCTCCCCTCTTGCCCTCCACCTGCCCCATCCTTCACTCCTGGAGAGAAGTCAATGAAAACTCTTTGCAGTTTCATTTGTGCTGGGAGATGCTCATCATTTGAGGCACCAGGTCGAACTCCACACACACACAGGTTCTTTCAGCTCATTCACAGCAGGTTCACTTACCCGAGGCCACACCTTCACTTGATCAATCTGGTTCAAGGTGTGCTTGTATCCATGAAGAAGGTGGCTATTGATGTAGTCCACAGCTACCTGGGCTGCTTGCTGTGTTTCTAGGTCATCACAGCTCAGTTGTCTATAAGTCATCTCTGGGACATGTGCGGCCGAATGGCAGCCCCAGAGCTGAGCGAGACAAAGGAGCAGGATGAGGGACCTCATGGCTGCTCCAGAGAGACCTTGGCAGGTAGGCAGATGGCTGGAGACTTCAGGACCAACCCAAGTGCTCTCCTGGGAAAGGCATAACCATGGAGGGGTGGAAGGCTTTTTTATCTGCTAGAGCCTGCCAGAAGAATTGCATAAGCACGTGGGATGACTTCTGTTTTGGTTCCAAGAAAACCCCTGCAAACATCAGCTCTGGAAAAGCAAACAGGTTAGGACATCACTAGTCCCCAAGAAATCGGCCAAAGTCCATGCTGCTGCAGGGGAGATGCTCCAAAGGCTGCTTGGAACATAGTAACAGCAGCAAAGAGAGAAGTCAGCTGGGAGGACAAGATGGCCACAGCCAGCCCAGAGTGCAGTGGGTTTGGCGGCAGAGGGAGCATCCTCTACTGTGATTTGAGCATGCTGTGGGGTATATGAGGGAAAAGGGGGGATATTCAGCAATTTGATAAAATACTAATGTCGAGGGGAGGGGATTAGCTCTTCCAAGAGAAGTCCTACAGAAAGAACAAGGCCCGCAGATATAGCAAAGGTAGAGATGCACTATGGGAGATGCCAAGATCTTGGATAAGATTCTTGGTGAAAAGAAGAATCTGCCTAGAGTGGGGAATGGAGGTGAAAAAAGTGGGTTCCTGTGACAGAACCAGAAGGGGATATGGTCAGCAGAGCAGCCTAGGGTTCCCTGCTCCTCTTCCTTTCTCCAGACCTCGCTGCCGGGGCATGGCAGGTGACAGCCCAGACGGGCACTGACCTGGGTCTCCTGGGTGGCTGAACATGATTGGCACCAGAAGCCACGTGCCCCCAGCCAGTGCACAAGTGCAGCAGAGGGGAGTCCTGGTCCACCAGGCACTCACTGGACAAAGCTCTGGCTTTGAGTCCAGCACTGCAGGCTGAGACCCTGCAGGGGCAGCTCAGAATGCAAATGCTCCTTTACCACTCTTTGTTAGCAGACATGTCTTTCTGGCCAGAACACAGGGCCACCATGTTGACTTCAGGCACTATGTTTTAAGTGACCCTTGACAATCCCAGGTGTGACCTCCAAGGAGGTTAGGCAGAATTGTCAGGGGCTTGGGAAATATCATACAAGGACCTGGTTTGGTTTGGCCTGGAGCAAGAAAGCCCTGACATGGAGACCAACACGTTCTTCAAACATTTAGACGTCATCATTGTGTGGGGGTGGATTTGTTCTGTTGTTTGATATTGCTTCAGAGGAAAAAACTTGGTTTAAAGAAAAAAGGAGCCCTCCAAAGAGAAGCTTAGTACCGATTTGCTGGGGTGGAGGTCAGAGGAGGGGGTGGGTGGTGACGGGGCAGAGAAGGGGCTGTCAGGGCCATTCTCACGTCCGCTCCTGGCTGCTTATCCCTCACACAGAATCTCCGGGACAGAACACAGAAGGTGTGGTCAGGACCCCAGGTTCTCTCCCAGAGGAGGCTCGTGACTCCCACAGATACAACACAAGCTCTGGCCATCTAGCAGGATGACCCTCAAAGTCACAGGCAACCCCTCATCAGCCTTACTCCCCATTTTACTCAGGCCCCTGACTCTTGAAGTTTCTGTGGAGGCTACACTCTTCTTTTGCATGAGCTTTAAAAATACCAAATATGATTATTATTGAATATTTGAAAACTATGAAACACATTCAGTGAGTACACATTTCATAAGACATAAGCTCAGGTATATAAAATATAACTTTATTTTCCACAACCCAATTGAATTTCCGAATCTGAGACCTCTTTCATGAAAATTTATTCTAGTCACTTTTAGGTAACCTGATTTTGCAGACATTTGGGTTGAAATGTAGTCCTACTTAGGATTGTTTGCTCTTCCTGTTTCTCCCCATGGGGTTAAAAATAAGCCTGAGATTGAAAATAAGGGGGTAACTTATGCAAATGCCCCTTTAGTCAAGGGCACAAAGGGGTATCCACCTTTGCCTTGTGCTGCAAGGGCCTGTGCTGGCATCTTCTGCCAGGTAACCTGTCTCATCTGGTTCTCAGGCACATCTACCTGGCAGATCCACCCGTGGGCTAATATCCTGCTTGTCCCCATCTAGTCCAGAGCAAGATGGTCCTCCCTGCATCCCCGGATCAGGGGTCCCCTTACTCCAGCTGTGGAGTAAAGGGTTCCTAGACCACAGGCCTACTCTCAGCTAAGTGCCACCCCCTTTTGTAAGCATGGGAAAATCTGGCTGCTTTGCCCACGTGAGGTATAGGGGGGCTTCATAAAGTGTCTTCAAGCCCTGGACACCCCCTGCAGTCATGGCTCCTCCACTGCTCTGTTGTCATCCTGCTACTCAGGGGGCTTTTCCTTGCAATGTGCTGTCAGCCTGTGCTCCCCACCCCACCCCACCCCCCAGACATGGGCTTGGAAATCCCACACTGATCTGGTGGTGCTCTATTGCTACACCAACCAACCTGAGAGTGTGGGAAAAAAGTTTTGTTTGATCACACATCCTCTCCGATCATTTCTGTCTTATATGTGGAACATTCTTTTTTGGCATCTTTGTTCTTGGATCTTCCACTGGTGACAATTTCTAAAGCCTTAGGTGTTTAGCTGATTAATCATTTGGCTGATGCTAGTAAAACAAGGCATGTAGTAAAGAGCATATCTCACCTTTCATGCCACCACATGCAAACAGGAATACAAAACCATACACAATCTCACCATCCAGAGAGATATGGTGTTAACATTTTGATACTTTTGCATCTTGTCTTTTTTCTATGAAATTATTACTTCAATATGATTTAGATCATACTGCATATATACCTTTTTAATTTTTTCATTTGACATTATAATTTGGATATTTTCTTATGTCATTAAGTAGATCTTAAAATATGCTTACAATGACTACCTGCTATTGTGTTGTGTATCTGTATCATAATTTATTTAACCATTCTCTTATTATTGGGCATTTGGTTTGTTCTCAATTGACTGCTATCATATAAAAAGCCACAATGAACTTTTTAATTTAGTAATCTTTGGCTTTCTAGGTTTTTTTTTTTTTAGGATAGATTCTTATAAGTAAAATTATTGATTCTAATGACTTGGACATTTTTAAATCTCTTCATTTCTATGGTCAAACTTCCTATTTTGCTATGCCAATTCATACCTTCCCTTTAACTGTTGCGTCATGTCAGCTCAGCTGTCTTCTCTGTTCCTCTGCTACTGCTTCCATGCTGACTTTTATGAGAACTTAGATATGTGAAAATTATTAGAACTCCTTTTTGTAAATGTATTTTATGAATATCTTTGTTTTATCTCAACTACTCCATATGTCTAATACTTATAAACTGACTTTGGTATCAAGCTGAATAAAATGACTTTTCAGTTTCCTTAGAAAGAAATGTCATGGTTTCCATACTGACAATGAAGAAAATAGGTGATATTTTGGTATGTTTTCTCAGATAACTGTAGCATTGGTACCAAAAGGAAGCTATGGGTATTTCATTATGGCTGATGACACCAATTTTAAACTTTGAAAGATTTTCACATGCTAAATATATGGGAAACACTCATGAGAGATCTTCACATGCGGAATGCCTAATAGTGATGAATGACCTTGGGTCAGTTTTCATCCAACTGGCTCCAGCTTCTTTGCATGCCAATAGAAGACAGCCATCTACTTCCTTTTCTGGTCATTTGCTTCATTATTTTAATTACGTATCTGTACATTTTTCTATGAGGCCCATATCACTGCAATAAAACAATATTCTTTCCATTCACACTGTGATATCTGATAGTGTGTTGAGGATACAAGGGCTTATTAGAGCTGGTCGGGGAAAGCAGGCCCAAAGATCTAAGGCGCAAAAGAGGATCAACTATCCCCAGGAGATGGCAGCAGGGCGCTGGGCAGTGCTTGCTGTGTGGAGCCCCTGTGTGGCTGATGGCAGAGATCTCAAGGTGGCAGCTGTCTTAGTCCCTCTGTGTTGCTATAAAGGAATACGTGGGGATGGGTAATTATAAAGAAAAGGGGTTTATTTGGCTCACAGTTCTGCAGGCTGTACAGGAAGCATGGCGCCAGCATCTGCTCTGGTTGAGGGCTTCTGACTGCTTCCACTCATGGCAGAAGGTGAAGCAGAGTTGGTGTGTACAAAGATCACATACTAAGAGAGGAAGCAAGAGAGAGAGGGGAGGGAGGTGCCAGGCTCTTTTTAACAATGAGCTCTCGCGGGAATTAATAAAACGAGAACTCAGTCATTAACGAAAGGATGACACCACGCAATTCAAGAGGGATCCACCCACATGACCCAAACACCTACCATTATGCCCCACCTCCAACACTGCAGACCAAATTTCAACATGAGGGTTGGAGGGGACACACATCCAAACTAGAGTAGCAGCCAAGGATGGCATGAGGGCTTCTGAATTTGTCAAAAAGATCTTTCACCAGAGAGTCACTAGGGCAGGTGGATGCATTTGAACTATTCCAAGGCAGAATTCAGTATTTATAGTTGCAGATCAGGAGCCAGAACAAGAAAGATCACTGTAAGCTCCGGGTCAGAGTTTCTGGAAGGTTGGTTCCGTTAGTGGACCTGCCAGCAGCGAATAGAGCTAGAAGAATGTGAAATATCAAGTCAAGCAGTGAGAGCTAAGGTGAAAGGGAGAAAACCAGCCTCTCACAAAACAGAACAAGAACAAGTGCACATCAGCAAAAGCCAGAAGGATGATTGGCTTCTGCAGGAAGGAAGTAGCAGTGGTTGGTATTTAAATCACTGGGCCAGATTACTGGCTCTGCTTCGTCTGGTACTTAAGGGCCCAGGCCTTAAGAGGCTGGGTATTAATTTCTAATAAGCCTGTGTTTCTTCATTCATATGTTCAGTAAACAAACATTTATTGAGCACCTACTGTCTGTGATGTTAGGTGCCTGGACGCAGATACAGAGTGATGAGAAGACACCATCTGTCCTGAAGGAGCTCATCTTGACTCATTTGGTCCAGCAACATCTGATCAGCAAAGAACTTTATGTTATTATATAACATTTTCATTATAATTTGTATTATTATACATTTGTATTACTATACAAATGATCATAATGTGTTGTGGAGACAGATTAGGATTTATTTCTCCAATGTAAAAACACAGACTGGGTGCAGTGGCTCACCCCTGTAATCCTTGCACTCTGGGAGGCCAAGACAAGAGGATGGCTTAAGGCCAGGAGTTTAAGACCAGCCTGAGCAAGGGTGAGACCTCCATCTCTACAAAGAATAGAAAAAATTAGCCAAGTATGGTGGCTCATTCCTGTAGTCCCAGCTACTCAGAGCCTGAGACAGATGGGTGGATTGAGCCCAGGAGTTTGAGGCTACAGTGAGTTATGATGACACTACTGTACTGTAGCCCAGATGACAGAGCAAGAACTTGTCTCAAAAACAAAAACAAAAAAACCAAAAAAAACCCCAAAAACCACATCTACCAGTGGAATGCAAATTACCCTTCTCCAAGGACCCATCAGGTTTCTTGTGAAGGTAACTTAGCATCAGTTGCTTAGAAGTCATCGCCCAGTAATTAGCAAGAGCCCTTAGAACTCAGTGGCAATGCACCAAAGCTGGGAGATGTGGGCCTGACCACAGCATAACAAAATTGGTTTAACCATAGTGACCAGATGTGATTTCTTCCTTTCTGGGGGTGGAGAAAGGGCTCTGCAAGCCTTTCCCTAATGCTGTTCTCATAACCATGACTTGGCTCTGCAAATCCAAATCCATGAAAGGAAACTGCATTTGAGGGCATGCAAGGGGAAGAGTAGGGCCTGGACTAGAGTACGGCAAGGGAGAGGGTGAAGATGCAAACTTTAAGGAGGCACTCTCCCTCCAGGTCGCTCCTTAAATTTTGTGTGCTAGGCTTATCTCTTGCTGCAGCCTAGACCTACCCTGGGGAAGAAGTATAATCTAAACCCAGGACAGAAAAGAAGTCCGTACTTCATCACATCTTTTTCCTCTTTCAAGGAAAGTTCTTTTACCATTTGGGATGGTGATCCTTTCATTATCACATAAGAAACGATGGGAAACCTTCCATTCTCTTTTGTTTGGAGGAGGAATTCCTACTTTATACTGTTGAGTGTGGCCTTACCCATTCAAATGTTCTGCCTCATAAAATCATTGCTTTAGGGTTAAAGCAATGGAGAGATTTGGTCTTTCCAGTACTGAAACAGCACCTCCTCAAGAGAACAGCATCATCATAGCTAATGTTACTGACTCCTTATTCTGTAAAAGGCATGAGAGCTGTGCTGTTCTCATGCTCCTTCCTTTACAGAGGAAACAGAGCTTTGGAGAGTTTCTGGAATTTGACCATGTCACACACCAAGGAAGTCATAGACCCTGGATTTAGTCTAATCACTTTATTTCTCTATCAACCCCAAACCGAAAGAATATGGTGCCCAAAGAAAGCTGAGGAGGCTGGCTGTTGGACAGTGCCTAAAAGTGAGCCAGTGATTATTCTTAACAATAGCAAACATGGCTGTATGTTGTTGTATTTCAAGAAAAAAAAAAAAACTAAACTAAAGGAATACAGCAATGTATTGAGTTTGTATACCAATTAAAATAATTTAAAAATTAGGTTGCTCACATAATTTCATTCAGTAGAAAATACCTGGAACTCAATTTAAAAAAAAAAAACCCACAAAACCAAAAAACAAACCTTTGATCTGTTGACTTTAGTGATGACTCACCCAGTATTGAAGTTATCTCTATCTCAGGTTTAAAAGGTAAATAAAAGGTAAATGATTACAGTATTTCTAGTTAGATATTTTTTCCAGAGAAATGCCAGTCAATGCAGAGAATCACATCCATCTTTCCTGCTGATTTCTGCCATCAACTTTTAATATCTTCGAAGCAAGGCGAGTAAGTGGCACTCTTCAGACAGGAAGGAAGGTGGGAGGTGGAACCGTCGTTTAGTGAGCCCCATGGTGTGCTTGCTGGGGCCTTTGGCTCTGGGGATTTTCAGAAGAGCTGTGTCCTTACCATTTAAAGTTATACTGAGTCCCTAGAGTCAAGTAACTCCTGGCACCTTTTTAAATTTGGGGACTTCTTTACCCACCATGTGGATTATTGGGACTGGAATTCATCCCTTTGACAGCGAGTCAATATTGAAGATTCTGTGGGTCCATTTATTGACATGTATTGGATATTCCCTAAACACATATGTGTTAACTTCCAAACTATTTGTTGAACACTGCACCGTGCTAGGTGCTAAGGAATCACAGATGAATGGTATAGTTCTTGTTTTCCAGATGCCCACTGTTGGGTCTGATAGAACTAGGTCCATAGAACTATGGCTGCTATTGTGAACACACAAGAGAAGTATAAGCTGTGGTTCCTGCCTTCAGCCTCCATTAAATCCGAAGGAACACAAGTCCCTGAGTTGGAAGGGTTCTCAGAGGACAACAGTGTCTATTTCTTATTCAATTTTGTATCCTCAGCACCTGCCTCCTGTCCTGTACATGATCCCTGACTGAGGGTCTCCAGACCACCCTATCACTCTACATAGGGCCTCCCTCCAATGTCTGGTGTCTGCCTGGGGTGCTCAGATACAAGACTCTCTCTACCACTTTGGCAGCACATTCCATTGTTGAATCACTCTAGTTACTAGAAAGTTTTTCCTGTATACTTTATAACCTCACCAATGGGCCCAGATTCTGCCCTCAGAATTCACACAGACTAAAACAACTGCACAGACTAAATCCCTGGTCTCGATGTTGGGTTTTACGTATTTAGAGATATCTGTACTATACTCTGCTTCCCTTTCCTGGCCTCCAATATCCCTTCCTTCAGTTACTTCTCAGATAAATTAGTTATGAGACTGTATCATGATTCTATAGACTAGGCAGGACTGGCACCAATGGTTCAATAGTAGGATGAAACATCTTGTGATCAGGGGTCAAATTAATTATGTAACTATCTGAATGAGTGAGGATTTGTGCACACTCAATAATTATGGCATGCAGCTTAGCCAGCTGCCACTGGCAGGGAATGAGAATTGCTCCTGAATTTCTCAGAGGCTTATCCCAACCCTCAAAAGGATTAATAATAAAACCAACAAACAGGCCATTCTTCTCCATAGATTGCCTTGATTAGACTTCTTCAATGTTGAGAGGGAAAAAATAGGAGGCTAATGCAACACATGTCAGAAGGGACTAAGTCTCCTACTTGGCTTGGATTTGGCAAGGCTCTCAGCTGTAGCATTTCTTCACAATTTGTCATCTGATCTCCTGAAGACACTTAAGGACGTGGGAAATCTTTGCTTTTGGTGTTCTTGTTAGAACAGTAGAAGGCAACGATTTGAAATTGAGAGGGTGCAGATCACAGAGCCAGGGCAGGTAATGTGGGCAATTTTCTCTCTGCACTGGCATTGTGCAACAGGCAGCCAAATCATTTGGTGAGTTAAGCAACAGATTGAGCCTCCAGGACTCAGATTCTAATGGCGACTGAGGCAGTGGGAGGAGGGATACTAGCAGGAAGTGAGGGTGAGTACTATGGAGAGGGGCTGGATGGGGGGAGGAAGGGTGTGAGAGCAGCTTAGCTTGATTAGGAGCCCTACATTTAGGGCTTTACAGACCCAAATCCAAACTCTGGTGGCACTATTTACTAGCTATGTGACCTAACCAGAGAGTAAATATCACTAAGACTTTGTTTCTTCATCTGTTAACTATGGGCAATAAAACCTGGCTAGTAGAGATGTGCTGAGGATTTACTGAGATAACATTTGCAAAATGCTCAGTGTAGGGCCTGACACGCCCACAGTAAGCTATCAATAAATAGGAGTTCTTAATAGCACTGATAACACACCAGTACTGACAACATAAGGAGGTGACATAGGGAATACTGAACACTAATAAAGACTAAGATAAGTCTTTGCCTTCAAGCAACCTATATATAAAAGCAATATAGCCTAGTGGCTAAAATAAGGAGTCCTTAATTTTATCACTGTGGCAAGTTACTTATCCTCTCTGAGTCTCATTTCACTTATCTGGAAAAAAATTATACCAAAAAATCCTTTAATCTTTGAGAGCATTAAATAAGATAGTACACTTAATTAACATCCCTGGCATCAGGTTAGCAGCCACATCACCACTTACTCAGACAGAAGAAACATAACAGGTGAAGGAGTGCTAG